CCAGTGTACGTAGCACAGCCCTCCTAACTCCCTGGCTCCATCATCCTTTCCCGAACAGACAGTAACGTGGTTTGTTCTGCTTTACTTCAAGTGAGCCTATGCAAGATTTCAGGAGGGAAGGATGAGAGGCAAAGGGAGACAGGTTTTTGATAGAGGGGGACAAAATATACCCCTTGGGCTCTTCCTACTTATGAGTGTAAAGGAAAAAAAAAAAATCTTAATTTTACTGAAAGAAACAAGGCCTTGTTGATTGTGCGTGTGGTAATGGGATGTAAACACCTGGTTATATGTGGTCTGGCATTGCTTAGCTACACTTTTAGAAACACTTGTAGCTCTTAGCTCTGAATACAAAGCAAATTCAAGCCGTGAGTCATAAATACGGTTTAATTGCCAAGGCCGCCCAACTCTCCTCCATTCAAGGCATATCCACCAGAGCTGGTCTTATGGACAAACATATATACATGTGTGTGTGTACATACCTCTCTGTCTCTCTCTCTCTATATATGAACACACATATGTATGCATATATATATACATACACGCATACACACACATATATATACACATGTATGCATAAATATGTATGTGTATATATATTTTGTATAAATAATATATATGTGTGTGTGTGTGTATATATATATATATATATGAGCTTTGCTTGTGCACCACAAGAAATGCAGGCAGAGAAGTGATCAGCACAGCAGTGCCATATCCTACTAGGACACTGTATAGGAAGAGGAACCACGGGTCAGCAAATAGAGGTCTCAGTCATTTAAAGGGGAATCAGACGCCATCCTCTTGTTCCAGGGAATGGCATAGCCAAGGAAGCAAAGCCTTGTTACAGTCAGCACTTCAACATGTCACACRCTGTCCCCTGCCCTCAGAACTAAGCTCTTCAGCAAAGGGAAAGCCTTAGTTTGGAATGGGCTTTGCTATGGGAACGCAGGGAAATGCCCCTATCAACAGGAAACCAGAATATGGCCATGGCCAGAACAGGGTGAGGTGGCAGCAGAATAGAGGCAATAGCAGCAAGGAAGGCTTGCCTAGGAACAGCACTCACCAGCACACATCAGTGCTCGGAGGAGAGAGGCTGCAGAGCAGGAGTTCATTACCAGTAGCTCCCCTGCTGTAAGAGTAGGAGTGTCTTTTAAGAGACAGTAACAAAAATTCCACATTGGAAATTTTGCATTGCACATTTGCATTTCCACATTGGAAATTAAGCATTACACTTAAATACTTGAGCAGGAAAGAAAGGCGGACAGGGAGGAGGGAGATACTCTGGGTTCCTCTCTATTTCTGAGGAACAGAGCAGAAATCAAGGCCCCAGCTTGGATATTATTTTGAGCAGGAGAAAGATACTGCCTCTGCACTTCAATATTCACAYATACTTCCCTGAAGAAAATGAAGATTCTCTCTTAAATCAGTCCTTCAATTTGTTACTGATATATTCTAAAGCTTTTATCGTGCTCTTTTATCAACCTCACAACTATCTTTTGGAGGGTGCAGAAGGGAAGGGACCTTATGTTCACCAAATCTCACCATTCAAGCTCTCATCTGTCCTACCTCATGCTCATCTCTCACTTCCTCACTTCTCTTACGCCTGTTTCTCTCCTATCCTGAAGGGGAAAGAAAAAAATTTCTAAATAAAAAAGCATACATAAGAATTCATGAAGTAAACATTTGTTTTTAATATTGATTCAAAGTTATTTTAAACAAGAGCTTAATTTATAACTTTATTAATCTTGGAACATTCTCTTTGGTATAAAATTAAAAAATAAAATCTAGAAGCAACTTCCTTTCTTGAAACAGCTTAAAAAAAAAAAAAAAATAGTTATTCATAGATTTTTTTTTCCAAATAACGGACCACCTGAAAGAGCAGATCTTTGCTGAAGCCTCTTCAGGTTCTCGGAGGTACCAATTAGATGCCAAAGAGAATTTTGAGGTCAGCCAGAGTCAGCTGAGAGAAGGACTCTCCTTTGCCTGACAGCACCTGCGCCGCCAGATCTTTCTTCCTGGTCTGGAGCTGTACTATCTTTTCTTCCACCGTTCCTTCACAGACAAACCTGAAAATACAAAGCCATGTCATCTGAATTGCTAAGAGGAAGTCAGGATTATAACTTTTTGGAAACATGGAGAGAAAGTTCTTATTTCAGTTAAATATTAGTAATATTACTATATATATATATATTWGTAATATTTATGTACAGGTACGGTAGTACAAGTGTACCTTTTCACAGAAGACAGCTGTTCTTGCATCCAGAAAGAAAACCTTGAAGCACTTCAGGCCTCAGCTTTGATCATCTCCAGTAATACCAACTCYACGATGAATTCCCTAACAGTTCTATGCTAAGTCATAGCACCTATTGTAGTAAAAACACTGCATGCAGAAAAGCTTTCTAGATACCAAGTGCTTTGGGTTTTCTACACACTTATAACAGCTAAGCTAGCCTTTTATTATCATCTCYGAATCCCAAATGCTTTTCTAAAGGTCAACTTTGACATTTATCAGAAGCGCTCTGTATGTTTATGCTATTAGCAAAGCCTCGGTGTAGGGAGCACGGTGCCTATGCCCAGGCTGCCAGGCACAGAAGGCAGCAGGCACCCCCAAGTTATYAGTGCTTTAAGAGCCTTGACTGTCCTGCACTGTTTAGTTAACTCACGCTCTGGGTGGATCTGATCTCCAAGATACATCTGCTTAGAGRAGCAGGATGTGGCCATCCCCAGTACAGTAGATGAAAGACCATTTCTGCCCACTCTCCGCTCCTCCTTATTTTTTTTAATTTAGCACTAAAACTACTAAGACAAAAAAAAAAAAGGATTAATATTTAATTAAGATATTAAATGTCTTATTAAGATAAGACATTTTCTTATGGCTATAAGAAATGGCAACTACTCTCTTTTCTTTACAATGAAATCTCCACTTCATAAAAAAAGATAGGGACTGAAGGTTTTCCAGAAAAGAACAGGATATTCCCGCGATACCATGTGTCAGTATGTTTTTGATTTTTGTTTTCTTCTTTGGTATTTTTAAAAGTTATTCTTATCAAGCTAGACACCGCACACGGCACAGCGACTGCCTCTTGGAAAGCTAAGGAAGCACCCTGACCTGTGGATCACAACATCCCTCTTCTGCCCCACGCGGTAAATGCGGTCACATGCCTGGTCCTCGAGAGCAGGGTTCCTGCAAGAGAAGAAAAAGCTTGCGTAGCCTTGTAGCTTATTACATTCAGAAACAGAAATATCCCAGTGCTTGTCTCACTGTCTACCTCCAAAGTATCCTGTTTGCTTTCTCAAGGACAACTATAATCTCCTCTCAAAGTACCTTAGATTTACTTGTCTGACCAGTATTGATCACCATTATCCAGCTCAGCCGTATTTCCCGTAGCCTTGGCTAGAAATTTGCTACAAGTCCACACAAAAAAATCTAATTTTTGAATTAGATCATTACTCCACGTTAATTCCTATTTCTGGACAGTCATTGATATCYACAAAAAGCTGAGTAGCTGATGAGGAGAAGGGAAAGACGCAGAAAGGCCAAGTTCATCATAGAAGYCCTTCATTCATCACTCTTCCCACCAGGAACAGCTCACTGTTTGACAAACGGGCAGCAATTGCAGAAGTGTCTCCTTCATGCTGCTACTCAGCAGCTACTTCATGTGCTGAAGCACATTTTCATGGCCCTGTTCATCTCCAAGACACCCAAGCTATGCCCACTCTCTAACCCTCACCAATGTTGCAAGATAAACTCCCTGTGGGCATCACTGCACCCATTTTATGGCAACAAGAAGTGAAGTCAGGGACAACCAATTCCTTAGTATCCTTTTGTGATAGAAACTGCCTACTTAGGCTTCCCCAGATTGGAGTTGTCCTCATTTTTTTTCTTCCCCCTGCTGTACCCCATTTCAAAAGAGTGAGCACTGGACTGACAGACTGAAGGGATCTGGAGGCATTAAAAAACACTCTTCCGCAGCTAGCCCTTAAAACTAGCCCTTAAAACTAAAAACAAGCCCTTAAAACTAATTTTTCCCTCCTACCCAATTGTGTAAGAGATCATAATATACAAGGTGAGTGGAAAACAAAAGCAGATAAACAAAAAGCAGGGTGTCCCACATTCATCCTTGGAGATGAAGCTTGTTATCTTTACCAGTGCATGTCAAGGAGAAAGAGGTGGTTTCCTCCAGTCAAGTTCAGACCAACGCCTCCAGCCAGCAAGGAGACCAACATTACCTTAAAAGGCCAAAAGAGAGTTGAACTGAGAAGCTTATTGCCAGAAATTGAATGCTTCACATATCCCACATATTAATTTGGATCAAAGATCAGACCACATAAACCTGACTGGCATATTTACATTCTTTAAGAATATTTATTGGGATGTATCTAAGAGCTGACTGATGAGATTCAGAAGCCTGGACATGGAAGCTGTGGCTCTGAGAGAGACCAGCTTACTACACCGCCCACGCATCACCCCAAGATATGCATATGGCACATGCAACTCATTTCCTTTTGATTGCACACAGCCTGGTATTCACAATAAGATGAAAAAACTGTTAAAGAAAGGGTATGTGGTCATTTTAGAGGTGCTTTCTTGTACATCAGGAAGAGAATCCAAATAGCAAAGGACARAAACTTTTGTTATAGGCATTTGTTCTTCAATTACACAATTAAGGCACATGGGAATTTAGAAGTCCTAACTTGTTTACAAAGTAGTGTCATACACTAGGCAGGGAACTTAATCAGTTTAAAGATAGGAGGAAAAATATCTGTTTTTTAGATAGCAGTTCATTCAAGAAATTCAGCAAAGAAAACTAGCTCATGCACCTCATTTCCCCCTTGCAATGATATCCAAGCTCAGAGGAGGCAGCCTGTCCTGCCTAAATCACAGCAGTGTCAATGCTTATATGCTCAGGTGCCACTATGAGGCAACGGTGTTTGACTAGTTGGAAACATTCGACCTACTCTGAGTGGAGCTAGTTGGCCCTCAGGTTCCACATTATTCTTATTATATATTCTCTCTMTATATATATTTTATATATAGTGCAGAAAGATTTTTGAGCCTACAGAAGACTCAGACAAGCTCCGCACTAGCCTAACAGCTGTGTGATCCTGCTGCAGACTAATACAAGGGGAAGTTTTAGCAGCTCCTCCTGGTCATTTTAAGATATAAACTTTCTTGCATAGACATATAGACGTAAAGTTTTTGCAGCTACTTCTTTCCCTGCTGACCTGGTGACCTTGAGATTCAAATGGCAAGAGGCACCAGTAAGTAGAGTCATAAAGTCAGTCATCCCATCTGTTCCCAGCAGTGCTAGCAACTGCTTCCTCACCCCGCTTCTTACCTGGGGCCCTTTGGGATTGTTATTGAACTCTTCCACCACGTCCATTCTTTGCTTGGGATTGACAGACCCATCCACTGTCACGTACTTGAGACCTAGGCGCTGCAGGTGCACGGCTACGACCTTCAGCATGCTTGTCCACTGAGACACAATAACGCTGTGSACAGGACAGGCAGTTCAACACGAGCGTGATGTGCGCAACAGCGTCCTCGCTGCCTCATCTCACCCGAGAGCACCTATGTAAGCACTCGCCTCACTGCAAACTGGACAGAGGCCACTTTCCACAGCAGGAATAGCTGGATTCACAAGTCAGCTAGTGCTCAATGTGCTGTGGAAGGCTAATGTTGGATAAGCTCGAGACAAATCAAGTCTATGACTCTCAGCTTTATTTTTGGATTTTATGTTGCCAAATATSAGCACAAACAGTATCAGAGTACTTTCTACCAAATTCATGAGCAGCAACACCAAACTTGAATTTCTCTGATCCTCTCACCCCCCACATTCTCTGCACTAAGCATTTTGGTAGGCAATAATTTGTTCAATAAATGTGTGCTARGGAAGACCATAAAAGCTAGTACAGTCCAGTAAGAACTGCAGGACTCCAATACCATGCGACCAATACATTCATTTATTGCAGACTCGGTTCCAATTTCTCCCCTCCTTTATTTGTGTTCTTGAYCAGAGCCGAGGTCAAATATTTTTCAGCATGATCAAATTCTTCCCAGATCTGTTTTTGAAGGAAAAGTCCTCCTGGGCCTCTCAAGGCCCACGACTCTTCACTTGATCCCTTAATTTACAGATACCCACTTCCTAAGTTGCATTCAGAGTTTCAGCGCTTATTTTTGTCTTTCCTTGGATTTTTCTCACAATCAGTATTAAAGTGCTGCATTTTATCATATCAAGAGTTTTATATTTGGTTGTTTTAAGTTACCTTTGCTACTGCCAAAGCACACCTTCTCCCAATCACTACAACAAATGGAAAGTGCAAAGTTGCTAACCTTTTCTGAGATTCTGGGTGACTCTGGATGGTTTTCAGTTCAGCCAAGAGGTGGGTTATCTGCAAGAAAAAGAAAACAGTTAGTCTGCTGCCTTTCTTGGCTACTCTTTACCAGAAGAGAGAGTGAAAGAAGCCAACCAAGCACAATGTCTGCTCAGACTTTCAAATTGCTTTACAAGTCATTGCTAAGAACTCCCAACATGATAACAAATGAAGTGAGGGCGACGTGCTATAGATTCTGCCCACTCTGTGGGAAGCCAGGTTACTGCTGTCTCTCCTCTCACTGTATTCCCATTCTCTCTAGCTCTTCACAAGCAGCATTCTCTTGCTCTCACGTGCATATTTTTCTAAACTTCTTTGGATCTGGAGCTCAAGCTTTGCACAGTTACAATGATTTTATTAGAGGCACCCATCAAAGCCTGGCAAGTTGGAGTCTTCGCAGAAGGGGTTTGGCAAATCATCAGTCCACTCATCCGATTTCATCTAAGCTGTCTCGTTTTGCTGATGCGCAAGCATTTAACCATTTAAAGATGAAGTCCTGAAGCCTAAGTCTCTTAAGAGAGTGCACAAAATTATTACTTGAATACCTTGGTGCTCTCCCTGGTGATTTCAAACAGATCCACTTTAAAAGCTGTGCCATTGAGGTAGACAGTTGTCTTGGAATCGGCAGTTTGGAGCTCAGATAGGGTCAGAGCACTTAGTTGTTCCTCAAGGGAGAGGGAAAGGCCTTCACTGGTCAAATTAGCTTGGTCCAAAGCCTGCAGAGGGATAATCAAAAAAAACCCATCAGGTAGTAAGAGATGGCAGACAAGCCTGAGATAAAATTCAATAGCAATCTTCAATCTATGCAACCTCTGCTGAGGTCAGTGGGCTTGACAGAAGCCATTCCAGGCAATGTGAACACAGAACTGTAGGAAATACTCTCTTGGGTCAGATCAACAGTCTCTGYAGTCCCATAATCCATTCTGGGAATGTGGTGCAAATATTAAAACCCTCCAACCCGCAACCCAGAACTAGGCAATTACCATTTTCAGTAAGGAGAGGTGACAGCAGCACTGACGAAGTCTCAAAAGCATAGAGAGGACGTGAACGGTGCTTGACACCTGGGAGACACCTTGGGTGCCTGCTGCAAGATCCTTTTGACTGGCTCCAAACTCTCGTGCAACTGCCAAGAGAAGGGAGCTCTCAGAGGCATTTCCAAGCACTGGCCCAGGCACCTCCAGCAAAAGATCAATTAAGAGACAAGAAACCAGAAGGGCAAGCAGAACCCTGATTCAATGCAGGAATCCATCCAACTTGATTTTAAAATAGTAAAATAAAAAAATCAAAATAAATCAAGATAAAAAAAAAGATTTTTAAATACAACATACATTATATATCACAATATCACTGACACTTCTTCTCTGAGATATCACTCCTTTATATCAGGAGGGAAATTTTAAGMACAAACATGTTAGTGGATTTGCCCAGAGCTGTGAAAGTAAGGAGAGACTTTAGGAATCCTGATTCAATCCCACTTCAGTCACTACCCAACACTGTCTATTTGCAACCTCCAGCAACTACCTGATCATCCCTTCAATCATGTCTCTCTTTATTACTCACAGCAAGTAAAAAGACTAGCAGATTCAGACCTATCAATACTTGCACAGGAACTCCCTAAAAGTGAAGCAGGAGGAGATTTTACAAGCATGACTTCAATACTTCAAACCCAAAGGCTCTATGGCAGGATYTCCCATAAAAGGAGTGGCAAAGTTTTTTCCAAGGAATTTCCAAGTCTCCTCTATCTATGCACTTAACAGGGCCCTTCTAAAAATATTTTTAGGGAGGAATGTTCAAACCTCTCTCAAATGGGTTCCCACCAGAGTACTCTCGGTCCTGATTCTTCTGCTCTTGTCGTTTTAGATAGGACTGTAGTGTTGACCTGGAAAAGAACAAGGGGGATTTCCAGGAGGAAGAAAAAGGCAAGTGTTACCTGTGCAGAAAACAAATTGATGGTTTATTGAGGTAAAGAGGGTTTCATCAGCCATTCAGGGTATTTCTTGAACTCTTGTTTAACTCAAAAGCTCTCAAGAAAGATCCATTTTGCAGACACACAGGCAAAGTCTTCTTATCAAGATACTTTGAGCATATTCACTGTTAGTTATTCAACACACATTATTCATAAAAATGCAAAAGGACATCTTTAAGGGTATACTCAACCAGAAAGAACACAATGTTGAAAGAGACTCTGAGATTTAAATAAATAAATAAAATTTTAAAAAAGGCRATGCCAGAGGTCTCCCTATATTTTTATACAAAAATTGAGGTAAAATATATCAGTCTTCCTTTACACTAGTGCCTCAAGCTTGTTGCCAGATAGTCAGAAAAGAAAGAAGGTAATGGAAAACAGAGCAGATTAAGAGATCTTCCCATTTTGAAGAGAGAGCAACAGAGCCAGAGCAACAAAGCAGACACCCCCACCCCTCCCATCTCCTCCCACACTGGTACCTGGATCTCGCAAAGAGCACGTTGTACACGGATTGCTCCTCCGCCGAAAGTTTTAACTGATGCAATCGAGTGCTACGCTGTGGTAGAGACACCTGAAGTAAGAATACAGCACATCAGATGCATGTAGTGCAAAAGCCTTCAGAGCATCATAAATACCAGTACACYGGGATGTCAAGAGCTAATCTAGGTCTCAGAAATTCCTTTCTTCACTAAACTTATTAACATTTCTAAACTCTGTCAAAATACAGATGCCTGCAGAACTCCAAGTAGCCTGAATAACACTCAAGATACTAAATTTTTATACTCTGAACCAGCCAGTAACAAAAGACAAGAAGAACCTAGTATAGCCTACCACATAGTTACTGTGGAAAGATTCATTTATTGATGGAAGAAGGAGGGCAGGGGAGAAATAGCTTCTCAGTTCCCCATTCAGAGCTGGGCAGCACACCAGAACTGTGCTATAAACAATCTTGCAAATATACCAGTGACCTGACTCAAACAGTCTATTAAACTGAGTAAAAGAGTAATGCATGAAATCAAAAACCCAGTTACCACTAAATCTATTTGATGCCCAGCAGCTTTAGAGGTTTTCAGATCTAGACTTTCTGCTAAGTGGATGCCTATTTGCAATTAGGTTACACATTCTGCTCTACTGGCCATTTATAATAAAACTTTTATTCTTCTCCTTAGCCACATTAAAACTGTATTTCTGCTTTCTGGATAAACAGTCAAACCCACAGACACTTACTCTCCATACTCTTGGGACTGCCGGGGCTAGGAAAACCTACTCTATATTAATAGACTTAGGTGTGTCAAGAACTAACAACTGGCTGCTGCAAGGAAAATGATGGAATGATTCTCTAGTTGAGGAGGTTCTTACCAAGGGCTTGCCAGCTGAATCTAGCTGGTCCTTAGTTCTCCGTAATAAGAGGCTCCTGGTTAACAGGCTGAGTCTCTCTCCTCCCTTCCGTGTATTGTTATCTACCTGGAACTTCCACATCTTGTATTCGTCAAAAGGAGAGCAGCGCAGAAACCTACACCAGGAGGGAATGAGTGAAGTTCTTCAGTTATGCCTGAGTGACCAAAGCCCAACTCTTTGCTATCCAAAACAACACATTTCCATCAGCCACATCTACCAGGAGTGGTTAAAMACATGCAGTTTTAGTACAGTGATAAGACTTCTGTGCAAATATGTTAGCACCTGACACTGTGAAACAGTATTCCTAGTTTTCTATCAGATCTTCCTCTTAAGTCACTATCTTTCAAGCATCACCACCAAATAGAGTATATGAATATGAGTATATGAAGTAGCACACACATTTGCCAAAAGCCTTTGTGTGTTATTTCAAAATCTGTGCTTTTTTAATTGGAAATTAATTTCAAATCTGTTCATTAAAATTGGTTTTGTGGGTATTCATCTTGGAGACAAAGGAGAGCTCAACTGACTTCTTGTTTATGCCTATGACGCTGAGCAGCTGCAAGCAGCAGATCATGCAAGCATGTAGGCAGGGTGGTGGACTATGTCAGCAAGAAGCTTATAATGCAACACCTGTAACGTTAAAAGCRTTAGTCCCACTGCCCGCTTACATCTCAGAACCCTCTCCAACTTACAAGCAACCTCAGCACTTTGTCACCGTAGAGCTACCAGAAGCCCCATGCCATTTCCTACAGGCAGGCAGCTCACCTCAGCAGAGAGTACATGTCCAACAGGTTGTTCTGTATCGGGGTCCCGGTCACAGCCCACCTCGCAGCAGCTCTCAGCTTGCACACAGCTATAGAGGTCTGAACCTTTGGGTTTTTAATATTGTGAGCTTCATCCAAAAGAACTCGAGCCCAAGCTACCCTGAGCAGAGGGGAACAGGGACGTGATCCATTCTGAAAGAGAAAGCAGGTTAAATTTACAACCCAGAGCACTAATCTGGATAGACTCTCTAAAAAGCCACAAGCCAATAGATTATTTCTGTAGCAAGAAACCTTTTCCTTACAGTGGCCAGCAGTAATCTGAGCTCTTACTTTCATTCCTCCTGTTGCAAGCCTTTGTTTCATTACCACAAGCACTTCTTCCTCAGTAAGGCACCTCTCCAGAGCTTCCCTCAAAATGAATAAACTGAAAGATAATGCCAGCCTATGTTTCATGACATTTTCTATAATCTTTTGCCTTTTTTTCTTACTTTTAAGAATGTCTATACTCTTTTACTGTTTTTCCCTACATTCCTCCCCGAAAAGTGTTCTGGATCAGTCCAGTTTTGTTGGGCTGGGACAAAGGACTGCATACTCCTGCATACTGCAAAGGACTCTGTTGAAGCATATCCTACTCTACTGCAGCATATCCTGCACTTCTAAATACAAGACCTCTCTACAGTTTTATAGGGACAACTGCTACCTGTAACACTGAAGAAATTCAAAGGACTATTTGCTTTAAGAGGTGCAAGAGGACCCGTATATAGAGCTAAGTAACAAAAATACCCAGCAACACAGAAGGTCCTGGATACAGAGCATACTGTCTTCACTCTCTGTAACCAAACTCAATGGATACTGAATCATTTATTCATCTCACAGCCTAGCAAATACGCTGCTCTTTCTTCATTTCAGACAGCAGGATGCTAAGTGCCTCTATCTCAGTTCACACTGGCCCAGAACTTAAGCATGACAGGCTTCTCGTAGTTTGGACATTAGCTCAGCACTAGTGCTTTTAGCAAAGAGCACTAAGCAGGGGAATTTAGTGYTCCTTCATGGTCTCACTGCAAGGAAGTGATGGTCATCATCATATTCTGTTTAAATTTTTTTTCATACAACACTGACCATTATTGAACTGCTTTAAGATTACTGCAAAAATATTATTCAAGTGTTTTCCCTCTCTTACTATGGCACTTCACAGCACTTTCTCTCATCATTTTATTTTGTTTGTGTAAACCCAGTCACAGATTTATGAAAAAAAAAAAAAAAAAGTCTTCTTCACTCCACCGTTCACTGTACTACAAGGTGCTCCTTGAAACAAGGACGGCTTGCACTACCTTGGAACAAAATGTATGGCAACAACACAGTTTCTCACCTGCACATCATAGTCCTCGGCAGGGACTTCCCCCTCCTCTTTGGTTGTGGGAACCTCTTTGGAGAGTATGCTATAGGTTGTGACGACAACATCGTATTCAGAGAGCCTGTGTAAAGGGAAGTACAGATCAGGAKCAAGAATGAAAGGGGATTTTGTTCKGTAAGACAAAGAAAACTCATGCTTGAGGTTAAGAACACCACACTTCCACAAGAGATGAAAGTTTCGCAGGAAACTGAGCATCATAGCAGTCAGAGAACAGCACGCTGTCCCCATTGTAATGGATACTGAGATCAGAGCTAAACGTCAAGCTCAAAATGGTAGCCAAAGTATGTGGTATTGGATCCTCACCTCATGGCTTAGAACTTGGTACTCAAAAACACTGTTTGATGGGGCCGAAGTGACACAGAAAGTTTTCTGACTTATCCATGTAAGTGATTTGTCACAAGCAATAAACAAAAAAACAAAGCAAGAACCCACACAAAGAACAAGCATAGAAGAAACTGCCACTTACAGTCTCTACAAGCAAGAGACTAACTTTAGAGAAAGTAAACAACAAAGGAAAAACAGTCTGAACCAGAACCACTCATCATTAGTACAGACCATGATAATTTTGCTATATACATTCTAACAATAATGCATCTTAATTGCAGGTATCAGTCTGACCTCCTGGATCCTCCACCTTTTCATACTTCAGGTTCCTTCCATCATACTAGAGTCACTGAATTTCAKTTTTGATGCATGAAATCTCTTGCTCATATTTATAGTTTTGCACTTACGCCTCTGCATGTTTATCCCTGTTTGGCCCATGGTACAGATAAACCCTCAGTTTGCCATAGCCTACATGTCTGTCAATCTCTTTCTTCCAGTGGTGGATCAAGGATGCAGGACAGACTATTAAAGTGCCGTGGGAAGAGATTACAGTGGAATCTGCAGGAAAACATTGCAAACAGATTTTCAAGTACTTCACAACAGACTACAACAAAGGTAGAAGTTTAACGAGGCAAAAGATATAGCATCTGTCCACTCTTCCTATAAACRCAGTTTGCAAAGCAGCCCTGATTTTTCTTGAAATTGTAGTTCCAAATAAATGCCTTTTTTCTCTTTTAGGAAAACTACCACCACTTTAAATGACACTAAAAAATATATATATATAGCCAATAAAAGTGCTAAAACAAAGCTCCAACTAATTACATGAAGACACATGGAAACACAGGCACTAGACTATTTCTCAGAAGCTCCGTAATGTCCATTATCTCCRTAACACAAAAGTAATCACAGAGAAAGAAGGAGTAATTAATGCAAATCTTCATGCTAGGAAAACTACGTAATGTAAACTTAACCAGGTCAGAAAGCCAATCAATCTAAAAATCAAAACAAAACAGAAAAAAAAAGGACCATAACAAGCAAAAGAAAAACAAACAAACAAAAAAAAAAACCCACACCCTGAAATCATAAAAAATGACAAGTTTGAGAATCTTGCACATCCATTAGAAGAACAAGTGGCACTGATGAAGAGAAAGACCTTGCAAGGGAGTGCAGTGAATATTAAGCCTAATGGAATCTCCTTACAGGAAGTATGCACATAAAGAGTCTCAGTCTGGGAATGCTTTAGGCATTTCAAGTTGCACTGTTTCGTAACACATGTACTATACAATAAAGACAATTCTGTACCATTTTTGGATAGCCATATTTCTAACGTCTCCTTCTTTTTCCCTGTCTCCAGCTTCTTCTGAACCAAAATGAGAGCAATCATTGTCAGAGTCTTCCCCAAGCCCATGTCATCCGCTGGAAAGAAAGAGGCAGACAGAAGTTGTGACTACCTGCTAAAACGGGCCCCCAAGACTCAGACCGACTCTGAAGTAGCTAATACAACAGAAAGTACCGTGGGAAGTACTGGAGGCAGAAGTCTGACCATTTCAGGGCACAATTTARCAATGGGTTAATTACTGAGTGGTTGAAATACATGCAAGTACAAGCCTACATGTCTATAAATAATTTACCTGGAGACTAATAAGCAGCTGTGCCAAGCTTTTGTTGGTACAAATCTGCCCTCCAAGCCCCTCTTCCCACTTCATTGCCTACCTAGAATTCCTCCACATGGGCTCTGGCTCTCCCTCCAAAGCAGCCATGCGAGCGCTTGCTTTTGGTGCAGCAGCAGTGGAACCTGACAGAATGAGAGAAAAGATTTGAAAGAAACACCCTGCACAGACACTCCTGCTTTCTTTAAGAAACTATGCCGCTGAGCTACACTACTACAGCTTTACTAAGGGAAGGTTGAATACCTATTGTTGTCCCACATTGACTGGAATGCCCAAGAGAAGCAACTCCTACAGAGACGAGGCCACCAACACCATACATGAGACCCACTAGTGCTTCCATCCAAACCATCCTCAAACCTCACACTTCTCTGAGAGCACAAGAAGAGGGCTTATTAAGTGGAAAACCCACCTAACYGGTGACACTGTCAAGGAGGGAGAAACTGAAAGCACTTTCTCCTTCCTCATCAAGCCTGACACTCTTACAGCTTCTTAGGAAACATGAAGTGAATTTAATGGCACACCATGTGAAGTGAATATAAGATCACACCATGTGACATTAAAAGACTTCCTTGGTGTTGAAAGGTCACAAGTGAATCTAGCAAACGGTATGACAGCTAAACATAAACGCATTGCCTTGCTGARGCACGTGCCTTCCAACATCTTGCACACAGCACACAAGCTTCTAAAAGGWTTCTGCACTGCGACAGCGACCAAGAGCTGCTCTTCAGCAGATCTGAACAGACAGATCTGGAATCTATTGGGTTATATAGACTCAGTCTTCTGCAATACTGACAAACTACTTCTCATAGCTAGAGTTAGGTCAAGAAAAAACCTCAAAGTCCAGCAGAAAATTCATTTTCTTGCCAACTCACCTTCAACCCAGGGGGATCCTCAGCCACTGTCTGCTCTGTGGGACAGGACTCCAGAGACTTGTGAAGATGATTAATAGCATCACTTGTAGCATTGTGTACAGCTCTGATTCGGTCTTCTGTCATTCTGCCTCCATACAGACTCTGCACGCCAGAGTTCACTAGAAAGACAGTGTAACAAGTTAGATTTGTTCACAAAGCTCCATCTCCAAGCACAGTTTTCAATCTCAAAGATGAACATTAGTAGCCAGAGATGCCTAGGGGATGGATGACATACAGCTCTCAGTAACCGAAAAGGTTTAGTATCCTCAAACATCCACAAGTTCAAGGTTCCCCTGATAAGTAATGCTCACCAGTGTTCCCTAATGAAAAAAACATCCTCCCATACTTACTTCCAAAACAATGATYGCGATATTCACTGGAGCCCAAAGCAGCAGCAGTAGCAGGTTGTCTGTCCGAGCCCAAAGAGATCTCTGCTGTCGGATGCCAGCGCGGAAGTGGTGTTATGAGCTTTGTGCCACCTGGTCTGCCAAGGGCGTCAGGTGAAGGTTCCTTGGGAGAGCCACTCCTTGCATTATCCTCCCCTCAAGAAGAAAAGGATGGAAGGTTGAAAAAGTTTCACAATGGATCTCAGAGTTGTCTATTAAAGCCTTCATTTTCCAGACTGCTGTTCAATGGTCTGCTTGCAAAAGCTAATGAGGTGGTCACACACACCTGAGTAACAGCAGGGTAGCAGGTTATCACAGCAGCTGACTCGCTGCAACTGCTACCATGCCAGGTCTGAGCCTACTCCTAAATCCTGGGTACTGAGTCCTGAGATGGAGCACACTGCGAGGTTCAAACCGACACAGCCACCTTGGCAGGTGGGGCAGGCTGACCAGGCTGGGCCATGCAAAAGGCCAGTCCTGGGCATTGTTCCCACAGGATGTACTCTGGTTAGAGACCTGCCTTGTCAGTAGTTCGGTTAAGAAAGGACCGAAACCTCCTAGAATGAATGGGTGAGGAACCCCAGGCTCTTCTTCCTAAAGGGTCTCTTGATTAAAACTGCTTATTCTGTGGTAGTCTGCTTTTCTCTTTTCCTTCCTAGAGAGGTTTGGTTTCCAGAGCTGACAAATTAGATTTTTTCCATCCATTTTAATTCCTGCATGCATTTTCTTCCCCTTCCCATCTCCATTTTCCCCTGCCACACACACAAATCCACTGTGCCCTGCAGATAAATTCTCTAGAGCCCACATACCATGGATAAATCCATGCTATTTTTCCATAGCATTAAAATCTATAGCAGGGCAAACTACTTTGCTAAGTTTCAAGGTGTGGGGRTCCTACCTTTTTCTGTACTGTCTCCTGGTGAAATGTTAAGAGCACTGAGTGCAGCTTCCAAATCCTGCACTTGCTTTAATAACCGTTCTCCTTTATCTGGCAGGAGCTGCACATTCACTGTAGCCAGTGTACTCTGTAAAACAAGGAAACATCCAAAACTTTACTAACACTGCTACCTGCAGGGAGCAACCTGCAGGTCATATGCTTAAAAATGTCATGTTTGAACATTAGATGCTTAAAAATGGCAGTCTTTTACAGATGGCATGTCAGGTTTTAACACAGTTCTACAGTCTCCAAATGAATAGTCTTTTAGCAGAAAATAAATTAAAAATYTACTTTAGAAAGTGCTTTGGAAGACAAGAAAGGACACAGGGCCTCCACCTGTTTGTGAAACCACACAGGCAGATAAGCTACTTGGATGATCTTTTAACATCTCTCCAAGCACTCAAAATTCAGGCTATTTGCACTTCTCTGTGCTATTAGAACAATACTTCTGATGGTTCATTTCAAAGTTCTGTTTTGAGCTGTGGGCAAACAGAGGGATTTTTTAATCATAAAAACTACGGAGCATTGGCAACTACAAGTAAAAAGCAGACAGAGAGCATGCTGCACCACAGTACTGAGTTTTCATGGCTGGGTCATAACTCCTTCTCTGCAAGGCCCGAAAGAGAGAAACAGCTACAGTTAAGAAAGTTCAAGTTTGCTACACACTGTTCCATCTTAAACATATTGCTTTCTAGGTAGTAGGCAAACAGCCTCAGGGAAGTCAGAAACAGGCAAACCTAAAGACAGAAGGTTACACTGCCTTAGGAGAGTTGTCTCACATGAGGTTTTTTAAAAAAATAATTTGTGCCTATACTGGATTTTCCCACCAAAACTCCAAACATTTCAGAAATAAGTTGCTGTAAGGGGGTGCTGCCTTCTGCTGCCTGAAAGTGGTCAAGGTGACTTATGCTCGAGTCATCTTCAGCACCAAAGAAAAAGGAATAGTAACAGTAGTAAATGACCTTCTTTTGCCTCAGCTGCACCACGAGATGGTTGTGAAGAGCTTTAGGATCCTGGGGTCCTTCTGGGCAAAGTGATGCTGCAGCTCTGGGCAGAGCTGCTCTCTGATCACTCATCCCTGAAGCTCCTGGCAGTGCCTCTCCTGGCTGCAAACCCAGCACCAGTTTCTGAGATTTCCCTTCATCTGATGTGGAAGAAACAAGTACTGCTTCATCACTGTCATCACGAGATGCTTGTCCCAGCTCTGGCCTCATTTTTATATGGGCTGGTGCTGCCTCCACCCCTGCTCCTCCCTTCTTCACGTCTTGGTCCTTGCCAGCAGCACATTCCTTTTCTTTCGTTTCTTTATCCCCACAGCTTTTTAAGTTTTTCTCTCTGAGCTGCCCCTCATTTGGACGCTCGACACTTGTGCTTTGATTTCGAAGATTTGGTGAAAAGCACTTGGATTTTCCACCTGTCTCTTTCTCCAGGAACTCAGAAGACTTCTTAGACTCCCTGTTACTGTCACCATGTTTCTCTTCATCCCAAGGGACCTTTTTCGCTCTCCAAGTCTCAGACAGACTACCTTTAGATTCGGACACCAAGCTTTCCTTAAGTTCTGCGTCATTCTTATTTCCCTTGGATTGTTTCTGTTTAGCTTCCAGTCCTTCTGGAGGCTTGCTCTCTGTGGAGGAGTCCAAGGATGATTTCTTTTCTTTATCTGACACCATTACTCTCTCTTTCTCTGGTTTCCTTTCTTTTGCTCTGCTTTCCTCTCCGCTGCCTTGTTTAACTTGTACCCAGGATGACGGCTCACAGTTCTTGTCTATCACTTTGAATGGATTTCGTTGGCCACTAGGATTGAAAGGAAGTACTGAGGTAAGGCCAGATTCTACATGTTTTGGTGCTTTGGTAGCTTTTGGATCCTGAAATACATACAAGTAGAGTTAACACTAACAAATTATGAAAAAAAATGCTAAATAAGCACACAAGCCAGTTATTTCAAGCAGGATTTTGGTCTCTATGATCACCTTTCCTATCATTTTAACAAGTACAGGTTAAGCATCCTTTTTGCTTTCCTTGTAAAAATCACTGCTGCTTTTCTACCACCTCTGTCATTCCCATTGTACCAACTCTCAAGTGCACCCTTCTCAAGGAAAGGAAACAGCTAGAGGCCAAACCCTGGGAACAGGGATCACTCTACACTTAGGAGCAGGAGTCTCACTTGGAAAACAGTAGGCTGATGGCCTGCTGAGCAATAAAGTGCAAACTCCCTTGCTGCATCATCTCAGAGCAAATTACACGTTAGAGGATGAAGAGTCATTCTGAAAGCAGGTACTCCAATAGAAACAGCACACTCATACCTGCCACGGGATGCTTCCACACCATTTCTTCCCGTTCAACTTACTTTTAAGGCATCGATAAAATAGCCTAGTGGAGAAAAAAAGAAGACGTGAGCTGCATGAGCCAGTAAAGGAACAACTTTTTTTAAAAAAAAATAGCTTGCATCAAAATCATCAGAGACATGATGTCTTAATCCGCACTTTACATCTGGACTTCGTTTAACCAAAAGGCAGTTTCAGTAACATATAGCTTTCACAACAATATACTTTTCTGGATGGATGTTTAGTCTTAAAGTTATTTAAAATATTAAAATATTATTAATTACAACTRTGATCTAATCCTCTAAAGACTCGTATTTTCAAGGGGTGAGAAAATGATTAATCTCTGAGTTTCACTGCATAGGCCACCTAGTCTTTAAAGCACTTAAGGGAGAGAAGACTTCAGATGAGACTTTTTTTCTACCTGGAAGCCAACAAGGACAGCTGGAAAAAAAAAGTCAGAATTATAGCTGTTGAATTTAATGCAAACACCAGAAATCTTTGATGAACCTAATAATAGAGCTATATCCAATTCAGTGAGAAACAACCTTTTCCTGTTCATTTAGGTTTATATGTTTGAATACAATTACAAATAAAAAAGCAAATGTCTTCAAACATACTAGATAAAGGTCTCAAGCCCAGATGCCTATTTTGGGCAGTATTAAAAGGGAGCACATGAGTGAGCTGTTGCCAAACGGTTTCCAGTGTTGAAATCAGGGGCTGCTGTGCAATTTGTGTTTCCGCTTTAGGCAAACTTACTTGTATTCATCTTTGTCCTGCTGCTGGACCAGGACTTGCAGCTCCACCACGTTACCCTCATGGATTAAACAATGAGAAGCAGGAATACTGAAAATATTATTGGGGGGAAAAATATATATATAATATATACACACACACACACACACACACAAGAAGGTAACACAAGCTGTCAACAAAACAGTAACAGCAAGAACACACCTAGGTCAAAATGATTTAGGACAATATTCTCAGAGACTACTTGACTAAGAAAATACAAGAACTCTTGAAAAAATTCAAGAACTCTTGAAATAGCCCTAAATCCTCCCTTTCCCAACCAGAATGCTAACCTTTCTCCTTTTCATTTGCAGGACGTAAGGAAAACTAACAAACTCCGGTCCTCCTCCTCCACATACACCCGGGACACTCGAGGTTCCTGCACTGCTTCCATGCTGAGGCTTGCGCACTGCGCCAAGTACCCAGGCACTGACACAGACGCGAGTCACTCCGCTTGCCTGCAGCATCCCCCCCCACACACACACACACTCCCAGCCGGGCCCGGCACGTACGGCGCGGGCAGGACGAAGCCGCAGGCCGCCGTGCCCTGCGCCCCGCACACGTAGAAGCTCTTGCCCCGGTTGGGGCCCTCGCGGACGCCCGTCTTCAGGACGCAGAGACACCCTGCGGGGAAAAGCAGAGCGGGGGCGGTGAGGCGGCCGCCACACGCGCCCAACGGTCACCAACGGTTACAACYACCTCACCGTGCCCCGCGCACAGCACAGCCTCCATGGCCGCGCAGCAACCGCCGCCCGTCCCGCTCCGCCCACCCACCACCTCAGCCAACCGCGCGGCGCCGGCGGGGCGGCCGCCCAATGGCGACGGGGCGGGCGGGACGGCGCAGCCAATCGCCGCCGCGCCCCGCGATTGCGGCCCGCGCAGGCTGCGCTTTCGCAGGGCGCGGGAAGGGGCGGGAAGCGGCGGTGGCGCGTGGCCCTTTCATCAGCCTCGGCCCCCGTGATAAACAATGCGCTTCTGCAATAAAAAGTTTACAAATCAGTTGAAGAAACGTTAACAGAAACAAACATTCCAGACTCTTATAAGCCAGAAATATTTTTTTTTTTTTACTTTTGTGTTTAAGGTGGGGAATACAATTTTACAAAACCTGTGCATTTCTTCATTACTGGCTTCTTTCCAGACAATTCAAGTGAGATCATGACACTGGTAATAACAGAGTTGTGGAGAGGTTATGATTTGGTGTTTAGTAAAAAAAAACAAAAAACAAAACAAAACAAAAAACTATTATCAACATTTACACTCAATAATGCATTAGTGAAATGAACAGAGCCAAATTCAGGCTTGACGTCAACTGCTGCAACTCCAGCAACCCGCTCCAAGGCTGAACTTGGCTCAGTACCATCGTGAATTATGTGCTTTCTACATAATACTATCAGTCTTGTGCTTGCACCTSTGCCTTAGCATTTACCCCTTCTAAATCTTACACCAAAGCAGGCCTAGCACCYGCTTTGTTTGTCCAGCAGTACCCAGTGATCCTCGCGTGTGCCCGTGAGTCCCTCCATGCTCAGGGGCAGCTTTCGCTCACCACAGTTTGAAGCACAGTAAACAACTGCTGCCTTCATCACAGCAATAATGTCCTCCATGCAGGGCGCTTGCCAGCCCCTACAGGGATTTAGGTTTCAATGTCTGCCCATTTATTGGGTGGTGCCCATTTAACACACTAGAAACTTTAAAAACATGGCCATGGGGATGAGGTGGGATCCACCTGCTGCTCTCTAGAGCATAAGCTCTCCATACTGCCCCAACGAGGCTTCCTTTTATGTCTTAATTCTTGAATTATGTAAAGAAGTATCTTGCTGGTGCTTAAGTGTTCTTGCCTTAACAGTCTGTTCTTAATCGGCAAACCATGTACTGAATTTTAAGCATGCACTTAAATCTCACTTGGGAATGTAATGGGATTCAAGCTGGTTCATAAATTGCTTTGTCCAGAGATGGACAAAGCTGGTGCTGGAATTGATTTCTGAATGTGGAACAGGAGCAAACAGAGTGTCCAGATACTGGGCTGGACTGCAGCTCTGCCTCAGGAACAGTTTGTTTCTGTGGCTTTCAGCAAGTCACACACACAGCTGTAAGTTAACAGGCGTACACCCAGCTTTTGCTCACATGGAAAGATCCTGCCCCAGATTTCCCCAAACTTGGGAGAGTCAGGGCCAAGGAGAAACTAAGTATATGCAAACAAATGCAAACTCTCGGTCCTTAAGTCCATTGGCTACTGCCATCCACCCCCAAGAACTTATCTTACTGATCCACGACTAACGCTTTGAAAAAGGCAGTAAGGCAGGGCTACCAACCCCACGAGGAAGGGGCCAGCCCAGGAAGGCACAGAAAGGTTCCTCAAGCTGGGCATTCTCTGATAATCCAGCTCATTTCTTCTGTTCATCCACCTCTGCAGGTGATTTAATTTCCAGCAGCTTCTCAACCGTTGCTGAGTTCCCCTACTTTGGCAAGCAGGGCTCAGAGTGTGTAGTGAAGGCTGAACAAGATCACGTCTGTGCAGTGCTGAGAACGTGCCAAGTGCAACACAAGTGCCAAAAGTTCCTATTTTAGATGTTAATGAATTAAACTCCAAGGATTACATGAACAGGTAACTAAGACTTAAATACTATGCTTTCTTCCGATGAAACAAAAAGAATTCAAATCACTCACAGAGCTTCTCTCCGAAGGAAAGTTGAATCCTGAACGTATCATTAATATTAAAGGAACAATACCTCATTTATATTCTGTGAAGCTTTCCACAACTGTAGGGTACCCTTTTAGTAAAAGCAGAGCCTAGAAAGTCAACTGAAGTTTTCTGAGAAACAAAGAACTTTGCACGTCATTCCTCCACACCATCTCAGTGACATTTGCAGCACCAGCCTGCTTTCCCCCATTACATCTGAGAAACTGGTCCCTCATAAAACAGAAGCAACACATAATCCAGTTTCAGATGCAGCATTCTGATAGTTGAACAGCTAGAAAAATCATGTCTTAGCAAGAGTAAATAGGACCATAATCTGCATGAGCTTTCTAGAAAGCTCAGATTTTATGCCTCAGTTAAATTCATGCTGCATCATTTGGGAGTCTGCAACAACACACTGTATGGAATGCTCAACACACAAGCTTCTGTCAGAGCACTCATACCTCCAGCTCTGGAATAAAGCCTGATTATACAGGTGGTCAGAAAAGGATTTCCACAATACTGTATAAAACATTGCACATACCTTTCCTTTCCCATATCAGCTCTATATCAGCTTTGGCCACTAATGGACACAAGATCTGCTGGACCACTGATGAGGTCCATGAAACCAAACCCTGTGTTCTTATGCATTGTGTGACAGATTTAAGACATGGCACAGAAAAAAAAAAAAAAAAAAAAAAAAGAAAAGGTCAATAGCACCCTAAACTGTAAACAGATACTGCTGTGAAATTCTGATGTAAGCATAGACCACAGTTCAGCTGCCTTTCAAGTCTTCTTGACAAAAACACTGAAAACTTCCCAGTGAGGTATCCCATTTCTGTTTAAACGGTAACAGCTGTATTGGGTCATACTTAGTGGTTTCTTCTTCTTCTTTTTCTTGGTTCTTTTTACTGTTCTTGTCAAATGCTCCCTTCGTCGATGCTCTGCAGCTGAAGTCTCTGGCTGGCATGGGGCCTGGTACTACGCCGTGTGTTCATACTGTTTCCTGGCAGAGTCCGCGCAGGGAACAGAGCTCCTGGTAAAGCCTCCTCCCCAAACAAGCTCATTTTCACATCTGCTTCAATAGCTTTTGCTAAACTAGATGCATAACTGTCCAGAGATTTATGGACTTCTGCTTTTACATGAAGAATGGAATTCTTGGCAGCTTCTGGAATTAAAAATAAACAACAAAACAAACAAACAAAACCCTGTTAACAGACAAATAGCATTGCTGTGTGAATGCTTGAAGATTAACACTGGTCCTCTTGTAAAGATATCATCATGCCTCCTGCAAAATAACTACCCCACATAGCACCTTTACCAAAAATAGCCAGAGCTCCCAAACCACTCCACGAACATGAAGTGACCCCCAGGTCACATAGAGAAAGATTATTCCCAATTCTAGGGAATATCTAAAAATACATATCTAAAGAAGGAAACTACTTATAAGTGTATGTTTAATTTAATTTGGAATTAAGCAAGCATTGAATGATTTTGTGGATGTGAATCCATGCACACAGTAGCTTATTTGTCTGAATCTGAAGCCAGCTAAAGTCAAAGGCCAGGTTTCTCCTTACTACACAGACCACACAGGAATAGAGACAGTGGGAAGTGCCTGACATCAGGCACCAGGAGATCAAAACAAAGCTCTCAGCTCTCGCTTCCCTTTCTGTACACTGCTTATAACAGGCATTTCCAGTGTGATTAAACAAAGTTTACCCACTACTGACACGCAATGTAAGAGCTATGTTATAACAAGCCCAGCAAACACCAAACTTTGTGTTTATGAATTATCAGTCCCCAAATTTCAAGAGCTTCCTCCAAGTGGCAAAGCAAATCCGCAAGACTCACTGTCCTTAGGTTTAAATTTGCTCTGTTGGCTTCCATACTGCCCCAGGAGCAGAGCTGAGTTCTGAGAACCCAGAGAGGTTGTAGACTGCTCTTGCAGACAGCAGAACACTTGCTTCCAGCCTTTTATTATCTCGGCAACACCTAGTCTCCAGTATGGATGTTGGTGCTATTATAACCTCTTTACAACTTCCTTACACGTCAGCATGTTGAACAGCAGTGGTATTCATCCTGAGTATAATGCTCCAATGAGGCTGCTGAAATCGTTTAAAACCCGACGCTCCTGACAACTCCAAGACATACCAAGGTGACTTTGCTAAATGTGCAGGGAACTACTGTACTAAGACCTCCCTCCTCCTTTGAATCCCCAAAAAAGGCACCTGCTGCTGTAATCATTCAGAAATACAACGGTAAACCTATGGAAAAATGCTAGTCCAAGAAAATAACCAGCTCATGCTGGCAGGAGGGCAACAGTGAATTTTGTCAATTTTGTCAAGAGAAAATTCCACAGAAAGTCTCTCTCAATAGTAACAGTATTTCAGAATAACAAAAATCAGTCCATTTTTGTTATTAATCTATTTTATAGGCATTCTCTTCATTTTTGTGCTGTATGCAACATTTATTTATTAATAAATTATTATTATTATTCACTTAATCACGATCAAGTTTTCAGCTCACTTGACCATATTTTACAATCACACAAGACTTGGCTATTTCAGAATCAACAASTGAACTGACTGAAAAATAAATCGCATGTGGCTCATCTTCCTTCACCTGCGCATACTGCAAAATATACAAAGAGTAAAGGAAACAATCAGAATATATTCTGAAGAATAAAATCTATAGATGGAAGGATTTTAAGTCTGTTATATGTTATAATATATGTTATATATGTTATAATTCTGAATAGTGAAGTTAAAAGTGGACAGSAAAGGGAACACTGTGCTAATGGAATCAAAGTATGATTCCTTAAGAAACACAAACAAGATTGACTGTGATAGTGGCTAGATGAGTGGTGTTGCAGAGAAGACACTGCTGTGCAGCATAACCGTGTGTATGTGGCAAACACCAGCTTCTGGTTCTTGTAATTATCGAGTGCTACTTGAGAACTGTAACAAAGACCTGCTCTTCCTTCTGCTTAAGTCYCTCTAATCAGAGAAACCCTGGATACACACTAATGCAACTCTGAAGGTCCCGAGAGGCTCCCTGARAGGGCGACACAG